TGTCAGTGCTCGAGATTGCCAGTGTTGCATTAAAAATGTGCCTGACGTCTTTTAGCAACATATAGATAGATCTAAATGTTTATTGTGTCTTTTTGTCATTGTTACAAAACAATATTAATCTGAGGTGTAGCACAGATTTCAGGGACCCTAATAGAGACTGTCTCTGTGAGCGCAGTTTGAAATCTCCCCACACATACTCACCATACGAAGTCTACAATTAGTATCAAGCTTAACAGTATTATTTTCTTTGTGTATAAAATGAAATTCTTACACAAAGAAAATTTCCCCTGAACAAAGACATTCAGTTGTATCCAGAGAACAAGGCGTCACTAGAAACATGACTTGCAGAAACAGAATAAGCTTTCATGACATTTTGAACTTTTACAGCATCGGATTTTTGAGTCATTACTGGAAGTATCTGCAGTATATAACATGTTTGTTAGCAACTAAAACAATATGGCAGTAAGTACCCTATTAAGTAAGCAAGTGCTGCTTAATTCTAAAAAAAAAAATTTAACACTGATGTTTTCATTCAGTGCTCATCGGTTGGTTGGTGAGGTCTTGATGCTTGGGGTGGTGGTGTCACTGTTCATGCAGGATTGATCACTACATTGCATGTAGTGAGCAAAACAACGTCTTCTTCTTGTTTTTTAAGATTCTGTAATACATTACAGAATCGGTCTTCCTGCTGATGCAGCTCCAGTTGTGTGAGCTCTCTTTCATTGTTCTCTGTTTAAGGGGATGGAGTATAATCTGCATGCCATATAGACAGGCTTGATGTTATCTGAAAAAACGCACAGCAGACTTGAGGTTCCCTTTTGTGGCTGTGGTGCTGCCAGCTGCCAAGAGGCACCCTTAACGTCTTTCATGAGACCCTCAGCCAGGTGTCAGGCAAAAGCTCTGATTGGCTGACACAGCTTCCAGTTCAGTTTCAGTTCTTCCTTCTGCTCTTTAAGATGCTTTAAGGAGTTGCAGGAATACTTTTGAATTTGCCTCCTTGCACGACAACGTGAACGTGTGCTCCACCATCTCATTTTCACAGACCTGTGTCTCTTGGAGCCACGGTTAGGAACAGTTATCTCGGGGTTTAGAAATTTCCGCAAGGACACAGTGAACAGTTGAAGCTTTTTCTCTCTGGGTTCAGACTCTGACATTCTTGAAGGAGTGAGTCTTCAATTAAAGACAGGCTCAAAATATCAGTGCCAACAACCTGTAAACTAAAGAAGGAAGACCATCAGAATACCGTTAATTCTAAAAAGATCAACAAGAAAGAAAGTTACAAAAAAATACCAGAACCTAAAAAACAGATCTAACAACATACAATGTGTTTATTACCAGGACCCCACACAAAAGTCTTTTCTTAGAAGAGTGCTGGCAGATCAACCTCACCAAGGAGAGGCCATGAAGCAGCTCCTCACAGGAAGAAAGAAATGGCAGGAAACATGGCTCTAGTAAAAATGTATCATTTGACTTACTTAATAATACCACAGTAACCTCTTAAATCTCTGTGTTCTCCTCACATCATGTCTGTTATGTGATGGAAAAAACAGGAGATTGAGGGAAACTACAGATAAGAGAGATTCAGGAGAAGGTGCAGACACAAGAGGGAGACAAGCCAACCACAGAAATACATTAAAACACAGAGTATGTGCTCAGAGACACACAATATGTGTGGTACACTTGTACAGGACTCTGTCTACTGTCAGACCAGGGAGAAGAGGAGGAAGGAGACCATGGCTTCAAAAATGAGGAATATGATCTCACCTCAACAGACAAATCCTATTCCTCGTTGATCTGCAAAATATAGAATTTAAATGAGATATTTGAGAAATGTATTTGAGATATTTGTACCCTCATCCCTCCAATAACTAATACAGCTTTGTATAATTTTGCATGAATAAAGTAATAAACATTTACAGTGCACCTGTGTCCAGGGCTGTTCACTCACTGCTGTATACAAATGTGAGCACATTTATGCAACGAGCCTTGTTCACATGTATGTTTTACTATGTGAAAAATACACCAATACACCTGTTATTCCTACGAGGATTATTGTATACATTTCTTAATCTAATAAACAAATCAGTAAAAGTGAAAAAAGTAAGGAGCAGCAGACACAGACCACATTCATTCATTTATTAATTCATCTGTTAGTTAAGCATTACTAATCATATGATATTATTTCCTCTTACTGCGCCCAGGGGCATTTGTGCTTTTGCTGCGATGTTTTGATTTGGTTAGCATGTTGGGGCGATGTCCCTGCCATAGACTCCAAATGACAGAAGGATGTAGCCCTTGTAATATCCCCCTTTGGTTTGTGCAGTCCTGTTTTGAAGCTTTAAGTTCAGCATTCTGTTTGCCTCCATGCTGGTTTTCTGAAATGCCACAAGTGTGGAGTTGATCTGACTGAGAAAACCGCCAGTTGACATGATGGTGACTTTCCACTCATAAGGTAAATTGTACTCAGCTTTGAGTGCTCCTAGCTGACACGAGTGGCACCGGGTGTGGTCTTCTGCTGCTGTGGCCCATCTGCTTCAAGGTTCAGCATGTTGTTCATTCAAAGATGCTCTTCTGCACATCTTGCTTGTAACGACTGTAATTACTTTTACCCGTCTGGATATTTTCCTCTGACTTTTGGCATTAACAAGGCTTTCATCTCAGTAGTTTCTGAAATATTCATACCAGCCCATCTGGCACCAATAACTGTGTCCCATTCAAATCCACCTAAATCCCCTGTCTTTCCCTTTCTGATGCTCAGTTTGATGCAAAACATCTTGACCATGTCTGCATGCCTAAATGCATTGAGCTGCTGCCTTGTGATTGGCTAATTCGATATTTGCATTAAGAGCAGCTGGTCAGGTGTAAAAAAGTTGCTCCCGGCTGGCCGCTAGCAAGACTGAAGGTTTCACACACTTATGTACTCTCTTTTGTGGTTGCTATTTCCTTTTTGCAGTTCCCCTGTAAATATTGTCTGTTGAGATGTATTTGTATCACTCACTTCCTGTACTTCCTGTACTACAGGATATTTTAGCTTGTAGTTACTTATCTTATTTTCAGGAGAAATGTATCTTCTGCCAAGAAAGTAGTTATTGTGCACTACTGATCCATGGAGCCACACCCAGCCATAACAACATTTTAAAAAAATTCCAGTAATGTGTCCTCGCTCTGGCAGCAGTTCCACTGGTGTAGCTGAACACACAAAACTGTGTCTGAAATAGTTAATACAGCTAAAAGCTGTGACTTCTCTATTGTCCCACTGTGGTGTCAGAGCAAAGGTGAAGCCGAAAACTTGCTTCATCTGGAAGAACCAGATTTAAGGAAAGTAAAAGTAAAAAAGGGGGGTTGGAGATGAAAACTTGGTTAGTTTTTAGGGAGAAACGACGATTGAGAAAAGGG